ATTCGTCAATTTTTAAAATGAATAAAATGTTAAACCAAATAATTCATTTTGAGCCCCCAATAAGATCATCTAATATTCCGCAGTGTGTAAGGTGCCAAATGTACGGCCATACCCAGCGTTATTGCAACCGCAGATTTATATGTGTAAAATGCGGCTCTGATCATGAGTCTAAAAAGTGTACAAAAGCAGCTGAAGCCCCGCCCCTTTGTTATCATTGCGGCGATAATCATACCGCAAACTACAAAGGGTGTTCTTACTACCTTCACCTTGTCGGTGCAGATAACGATCAAGCAACAATAGGCAGAAGTAACGGGACTTATTTACACACAAATGCAAACCGGTACAAATCCAACCTTCACAACAATAGAATTTCTCAGTACGCAAATACTCAGCATATGTCTTATGCTCAGGTAATAAAATCGCAATCAAACCTATTTAACAACAATCAAAATCACATTAACAACAGTAATTCTCCATCGATGTCTGATTTCCTGACTGAATTTAGAAATATGTTTAGCCAGTTAATGGAACAAAACACCATGATTGTCAAAATGTTATCAACATTAATCAACATTAATAAAGCTAAATAATGGCTAATATTTTAAACTTAGGATTATGGAATGCTAACGGCTTGTATCAACACAAAGCCGAAGTAGAATTATTTTTGAGACACAACAATATCGACATCTTTTTAATTAGTGAAACACACTTCACCAAGTACTCAAACTTTTATATACCAAATTACAAGACATACTTCACTAACCATCCCGATGGCACCGCACATGGTGGGACTGCCATTATTGTAAAATCTAATCTTCTTCATTACGAACTGGATAAATACGAATCTGAAATTTTGCAAGCCACATCAATTTCATTAAAAATGAATTCATTCAACTTATGTGTTTCTGCAGTCTATTGTCCGCCGAGGCACAATATAACCAGTTTACAATTTCAAGATTTTTTCTCTACACTAGGTAGTCATTTCATCGCCGGCGGAGACTACAACAGCAAACACGTCAATTGGGGCTCAAGATTAAATAATCCCAAAGGAAAACAGCTATATGATACAATACATAAACTCAATTATAGTGTTCTTTCTTCAGGTTCCCCCACCTACTGGCCGAGCGATCCTGCCAAAAAACCAGATCTATTGGACTTTTTTGTATCATCGGGTATAAGCTCAATTCACAAGGAAGTACGAGCAAGCTACGACTTATCATCTGACCATAGTCCAGTAATAGCCAGCATAAGCACTTCGGCAAGTATTTTTAAACCCTCCTCTAGGATCTGCAACCATAAAACAAACTGGGACATCTACCGGAAGTTCGTAGAAGACAAAGTTAACCTCAAAGTTAAACTTAAAAATTCCGCTGATATCGAAAACACCATCGATTCCTTTAATACTCTTCTATACGATGCTGCAAAGTTTGCTACTCCTACTCCTGTTACGACAGAAAACTCCTGCCAGACAACAACATATGAAATAAAAAGGCTCATAGCAGAAAAAAGAAAAGCTAGGCGTAGGTGGCAACATAGTCATTTGCCCACAGACAAAAACATTTTCAATAATCTGAGCAACAAGTTGAAAGCAAGGTTAAAGGAACTCAATCAAGTGAGATTTAATAACTATGTATCCAGTTTGAATCGTTTTGACAATTCTATCTGGAAACCCGTCAAAAATAAACTTAAACCTAACTTTCAAAATCCTCCAGTTCGTATGGATACCCAGACCTCTGCATGGGCAAGAAGTGACAAAGACAAAGCAGATATATTTGCGGAATACTTAGCTACAGTTTTTCGGCCTAACAATTTATCAAATTATAATGTCAACATTAGTCCTGCTTTAGACCATAATAGCAGTCACGAAAGCGAGAAACGTTTCTTGTCTCTCAAATTAGTAGTTAGTGAAATAAAGAAAGTTAAAGCAAAAAAATCGCCTGGAATAGACCAAATATCTCCCAGAATGCTCAAAGAATTGCCTGTAAAAGGATTCATTATAATCACCTATATCTTCAACGCTATTGTGAGACTTGACTACTGGCCAAATCAATTCAAGACCTCTTTAATAAAGATGATTCCAAAAACTGGCAAGGATCAACACTTAGTCACATCTTATAGGCCAATCAGCCTTCTTCCTATATTGTCAAAAATTTTAGAAAAACTGTTACTACAAGATATTTTGAAGGAATCCAATATCTTCCCTGATCACCAGTTTGGATTTCGTAAAGAGCACTCAACCATACAGCAGTGTCACAGGATTGCCAGTCATATCTATAACTCATTCGAATCCAAACAATATTGCACCGCCGTCTTTTTGGACGTCAAACAAGCATTCGACAAAGTGTGCCACGACAGACTCGTCACAAAAATTAGACTCTACTTACCAGTAAAGTATCATAATATCTTAACATCATATATTGTCAACAGAAAGTTTATAATCAAGGTTAATTCCTCGTCGTCTGACGTATTTCCTATCAAGTCAGGGGTACCGCAGGGAAGTGTGTTGGGTCCATTCCTATACACCCTGTTTACGCGCGATATTCCAACAACATCTATTACCACAATCGCCACTTTTGCAGACGACATATCAATCTTATCCACTGATGACAACCCTAGTACTGCTTGTTTAAAACTGCAGTATCATCTTAATTTGATTGAAGATTGGACCAAACTGTGGAACATAGGCATCAATGAGTCTAAGTCTAGCCACATTACTTTCACTCTTAACAAACAATCGTGTCCTGCAGTGTTCTTAAATGGCAATCAAATTCCAACAGTCAGCACCATCAAATATCTTGGAATTCACTTTGACGAAAAACTCACCTGGCGACATCACATTTGCACTAAAGTTAAGCAAATGAAAACGCGAGTTAAAGAACTCGGCTGGCTCATTGGACATAGATCCAAATTATCTCTTGAAAACAAGGTCCTTATTTATAATATGATAATTAAACCGTTGTGGACTTATGGTCTTCAGATTTGGGGCTGCTCAAGCAAATCAAATATTGCTCTTATACAACGGATGCAATCAAAAATTACTCGTTTGATCACAGGAGCACCCTGGTACGTAACTAATCAGATGATCCATAACGATCTAAATATACAGTTCGTTAATGATGTCATTAAATCAATCAGTGAAAAACATCACCGGAAGCTCGAAAACCATCCAAACACACTAATGGCGCCACTGTTAGCAACTCCAAACAGCAGAAGATTGAAGAAGAAATGGCCGAGTGATTTGATTTAAGCAGAACATTACTTGATGAAGTGACCTCTATTAAATATTTATAAATCTTTTATTGAGAGAGTGTGTGTGTGAATGTCTGTGCGTATGTATGTACGTATGTTAGTGTATATGATAATTTCATAACATTAGATCTTAAAATACGTAGTTTTCCCAGTAAACGGCCGAAGGACCTGAGCCAACTAGTATACCACTTGCTGAAGTGGTTACTATTATATAATTTCTTTTTTTTGTTAACGTGCGTGTGAGTATGTTTGTGTGCATGTACGTATGCATGTGTGTGTATTTGCTAAATTCATCACAATAGCTTATAGGATACCTTGTATTCTGATTGCTGTAAATAAAGAAATAAAAAAAAAAAAAAAAAAAAAAAAAAAAAAAAAAAAAAAAAAAAAAATTCATTACTGTTGTGCAACAAAATCAAATTTTTCCTTTACAAATATAAAACAAAAAATTTCTTCATCTTTCTCACCAAACCTAGTTTACTATACAAATAAAAATTATAAATTCGGTAGTTTATGTATAGTAATATCTGCGGAATTGTTGAATCCACGATTATAAAATATTTCATTTTATGCACGATGAATAATATATAAATCAATCTGTATATAGTAAAAATAAATTTTATAAATCAATCACTATTATCGCAATATACAAAGCTTGTGCGTTGTTTCTCAATCCGAGGGTCGTATATGAAAATATAGAAATGTGTGTCAGTATGTCTTGTTGAACATTTAGATCAGCGGTAAAACGCGTATTTCATTAATAGCAAAAAACTACATGGTGGAACCATACACATGAATACATTTTCAGCATTTAGTATATAAGCAGCACTACAATTTTTAACTTTCCGTGGGGTTATAATAATTGCAAAATATCGAAAATGAAAATATTTATATATCATTACGTTTCGAAGCCTTCCGAACATATTAGCACAATTTAGAAAAAATGAATATGTATATGTGTGCATACGTTTTTTTGTTAGCGAAGGAAATGCATTTATGCATCCCAGGCAGGTCTTTGTGCATATATGTGTGTGTGTACGTATGTGCGGATACAATTTTCCATCGACGATTTCGAGAACACGGATCAATCGATTTGAATAATTCAAAAAAGATACGATTAGTATTGATGAGGTGAAGAGGTGATTAGTTTTTGGCAAAGGCAAGTCCAGTCGTTTCAAACATACGAGGCAAAAGTCCTAATTCAGTTTTTGAAAGAACGGGCTGTCCGATTTGAATAATTCAAGAAACATTTTACTTGTATTGACGAAATGAAAAACCGATCAATTTTGTGAAAAGACAGAATTATTAGTTTCGGAGATTCAATTAAAAAAATGTAAAACAACATGCCACTTGGCGGTCAAAAATGATCATTAGACATATGCACTTCAAATTATCAGAAAATTATCAAAAAAAAAAAAAAAAATTAAAAACTATTCAAATATAAAATATTTAAAATATTTCAAAAATTCTCAGAAATCTATTTTTTTTTTTCTTTTTTATTCGATTTTAATTTTCGGTACAGGAAGTTCCAACAATTAAATAAATAAGGCACAATGCCACTAGTTGAATGTATTTTATTGGTTAATCAACAAGTTAAAAAAACCAACAACATATATAACTTAAGATATAGAAGAATTAGCTCTTTTGATTACTATGTGTACAGTGTATGCATGTATCGAAGGGTCTGTTCATTCGCCAACATTCCTAATACAGTAAGTATTTCATTCCTTAATACTTTTAATTTCGCTTACTTCAAGACAATGTCAACACTCTTCACCGGCTAGTAAACTTAGGTTCATCAAAAAGCGGGTACCACTTTATTTTTCACAAAACAGAAATCCTGACAGTTAGGCACTCATCAGAAAACACTACACGTACAATATTAATTACGGCATAACACTTGTTCCAAGGACACTTTCCAGGAAGAAAAATGCACACTTTCACTACAATAAGTGTAATATAATAAACACACAGAGCACAGAATTATTGGTTCGTCCTAATAAACTAGAACACCACAAAACTAGCGCATGTCAAACTTTAAGGATTTTCGAGATGAAATCTCATCCTTAAGTGAGGACACCGAACTCACGGTTGTTGCACAAATAATTGTGCCTTTGAGACAAGTGACCGGGCGTCGGATCGATGCTTCCACATGTGACAATCACGGCGTACTGATTAGTTGAATTGTCCAAACAACATCGTTCGTAAATATTCACGTGATCGGCCAGCAGCAAGCAGACACACATCAAATCAACTTCATACTTTACATGTGTAAGTGTCTGTTGCTCATACGCGATCTTGGTGTTGCTCACTCACACCGCCAACACGGCGAGCCAGTGGTCTCCAATCTTTTATTTACTCGAACTTCAACAAGACCCACGAATCGCTAGTTTTGTCATTGGCAGGAGTTTGGAACCCGAATTAGAAGAGAAGATAGATATTAGACATTTTGAAATTAGCCGAAAACCGATGACGACCAACATTCTATGAACAAACCTTTAATCTAGCCATCAACCACCAATTTATGCCAAGAATTTTATCTATTTAGTTATTTATTTTTATAAGGTTATTCGGCCCATCACAAGAAATTTAGCAAGGGATCAAAATCAGTTTATAGTAGAACATCAAACAAACTAGTGGGGCGCATGGCATCGTGCCTTAAGGCAAATTGCTGAAACTTCCCGTACCAAAAATTATTATTTTTTTAAAAACAATTAACATTTTTGAAAAAATTTTACTTCGAAAAAATTAGATTTTTGAGAAACTGTAAATTTGACAAAAAATTACTTTTTTTTGAAAAAAAATGTTTTTTTTTGAAAACAAAAAATTTTTTAAAAAAAAAAATGTTTTCTTCAATTTGACATATTTTGGAAATTCTGAACTTTTTTTCAAAGCAACCGTATTGCTTGAACTGCATAGAGACGAAATGTCAAAGCGCGTAAGTACCGCGCCGCCGTCTAACGTAAAAGCATTGGTACGGAACCCATAGAAATGTAAAAAAAATACTTATTGTTGAAATCTCTATAAAATATCTGATAATTTAATGTGCATATGTCTAATGATCATTTTTGACCGCCAAATGGAACTTTTTTTACTTTTTTCATTAGATCTCCGAAACCGCTAGACCTGCCTTCATGAAAATTTGATCAATTATTCATCTTGTCAATGCAAGTAAAATGTTTTTTGAATTATTGAAATCGGACGCTCCGTTCTCTTAAAAATTGAGTTATGATTTTTGGCACTTTTTGCCCCGTATCTTCGGAACGGCTAGACCTGCATTCGCCAAAAACTAATCAGCACGTCTCCTTATCAATATGAATCGAATGTTTTTTGAATTATTCAAATCGGTTGATCGGTGTTCTCGAAATCGTCGACGAAGATTTGTATCCGCACACACATACACACACGCACACAGAAACACACATACACACACACATACATCAATTTTTTCTAAGGTATGCCAAAATATACAGAAACTTTTGAAGGTTTGAAACGTAAAGATATATAAAATTTTTCATTTTCGATTTTTTTGCGATTACTATAACTTACCCTACGGGAAGTTAATTATTGGAATGAAGAGACGAATGCATTAGAAAAAATGTTCATATATAAATTTTTTTGGCGAGATATAATCAAGCATAAAAACAATATGAAGTATATTTTTACTACAAAAAGACGACAAAACACTAGAATTGACTTGCGACTGATAAGTTGTAATCAAACAAGTTTTATTTAATATATTAAATAATTAACTAATTATCAAAAATAAAAAGGGTGATAGATAATGTTGGATTAGGTTATAATTCATTATATTAGTTTCGAAATAAAAATCCATACTTGTTTTACAATATTTTGAAACTGTGAATTCTTTAAACCTAATTGAGTAAAACCTTAATCTCATGGGGCCCAAAGGGGCGGCCATCAAGTGCATAATCGCTTTTTAATGATTTTTGGATCCCACTACTTCCTAGTAATATGTGGTGATATTTCAAATTATTTATTACCCCCCCCCCCCCACCATACATTACTTGTATTTTCAGCACCTAAAAATCATAAAATTTTTGGATTAAAAAAAAGTTTTTTTTAAAATCAGAAAAAAGTGATATCTTACTACACCCCTTCTCCTTCTTGTAACATTTCGTAATTCTTTGTCAAATCACGCTTTCCACCTCTTTTCAGTATCGTAAATTTTATTATTAGTAATATTTTTATATATTAAACAAAATGCATCAAGTTTATACTACTCTTACAGTTGATACTCTTTACGAGATACAATAAATGTATATCCCAAGAACCCCTTTATTGAGACATGTTAACATAAGTCATAATAAAATGACCCACGACACAGTTAATTATAGTTTTTCTAAGCAAAGTTTTTTATGCAGCTACCAATATGCATTCATGTGCAATATACACAACAGGCTCGAGAATGTGATATTTTTTTATTAAACTTTAAAAAAAATCTAATAAAATGAATTGGTAATAAAGAAAAAAAATTATGGATTGGCGATCTAATGTTTAGCAAAGATTTTTAGCACCAATTATAGTTTTCTGAAACAATATTGCATATGTAGTGTGGGTGGTTGTTAGGTTTATGCAAATTACTAAAATGGAAAAATAAATAAACAAGGCAATTAATAATGAGAAAATGATTAGAGATTAGATAGAAAAATAACAATTATTTGCATACTGGAAAATCAGCGATAGTTCAGCTAAACCATCAAATTTGTGATGGAGCAATATTTTGGAAGCCGCTGCTCTACCAGCATCACATCATCGAAATCGCACATCTTATATAAAGTATACCAATCTTCTGTTATAAGAGGACTCGATTGAAACCACTGGAATTCGAATGAAGCATGTGTGCGTTCATGTTTGTCGCGCTGCTATCAGTGAGTTAGCTGGATGTACTGATAATGGTCCAAGCAACTGCTTCACGTCAGGTCAAAACATACAAATATGGAGTACAATATTATTGCATTGGATAGAAAAAGCGAACGAAAGCGATTGCCGGAATTTTTATGATTTCCGATAATTCCCATATTCAACAAAAATTATTAGATATCTCTTATTATTTCAAAGACCCAAGATTAAGGGGCCGATTCTGCCGTAAAATGGTCTAAAAACTGTCAAAATGCTATGAATTTGCTGTGCAGTCAGGAGTTTAACACATAAAATGTAACTTCACTCTTATGTTATTAAGGGGTTAGGGGTACTTGCAGGCACGAAAAAATGAGTGTTTTCAGTATTTTTTTTTTGTTCTTAAGCGATGTTTTTCTACAAAAATATTAATACAGCATTATTATACAATGTTTTGACTTAATGTAACAAAAATTTCAGAAAAAAAAAATCAATATTCCCAAAGTTATAGCTGTTTTTCTTGACCCTGTTTCGAAAAACGGTCCTGGCGGTGACCATCATAACTCCTTGGAGATTCATCTAAAATCAATAAAATTAAAAAAATAGTTTTATGAATAGTTAATCCCGGGCCGGATCGAAGGTTTTCCTTTTTTTGCAAAAATTAACAAAATGACAGCATCAGAAAGAAAAAATCTTGATTTTTGGGTAAAAAATCAACAGTTAATTGGTCTTAAAAAATTCAAATTTTTGAAAAAATAAAAATCCTTCGATCAGGCACGAGTTTATTATGTATTATAAAAGCTGTATAAATTTAATTAAAATCTACTAAGCGGTTTTTGAGTTACAGTGGTCACCGATTCAAAAAACATAGTTTTGAGAAAAACGCGTTCAAAGTTTTACATTGGATTTGCGTACAGAAATACGAATTTTAAATTCATTTACACCGAGTCATCTATTCCTGGGCCATATAACAGTTCTTCAGCCATTGTGGAAGTTTCCAAAATTTTCATTTGGTGTTGCCTACGAAGCATTCTGCCCTCCCGTGTCGTCTCGTTGGCGCGCTGATCTGCTACTTTCACACGTGCAGCATCCAATTTTTCAGCATACCAATGGGAATTATACCCACAATTAGGTCCTAGGGTACCCATAATCAATAGTAATGATTATGTATATGTATTCAACAATTTGTACGATAGTACAACTAGTATCCACGGTTTTTAGGCATATTTTTTACACTAGTTGGTTGAAGCTTTTAATTTTTCCTGATTATGGTTTCAATCTTGAACTACACATCTTGAAAGTAAATTATCATTGCTGAGATCGTTTTAAATCGGTTTAAAAGCTTTTTAAACATCAGGAGGTGAGGGAGAATAATCTTGAGTATAAGTATCGAGCTCTCCACTTGCGTCAACGCGCTGGTAAGGGTCCAATAACTCAAAAAGTAATCATCGGATCAACTTCAAATTTTCAGAGAACATTTTCAAGATATTACACTTAATGAAAATGCAAAAAAATAAAAATCGATTTTTCAAAAATTCCAAGTACCCCTAACCCCTTAAGTCACATCTTATATACAATAATGCATTTATGATAAGATTGTTTTTTTACGTTAGTGCGTTTTCCGGGTTAGGTTTTCTATCTGAACGCCTGTCTGCACAAAATCCACATAGCATTTTGGCAGTTTTTAGTACCACTTTATATGAAAAGCGATACTTATAGGCCGATTCTGCCGCACAACAGACCAATGTTATAGCAAGGCCACGTTACGCTCTAACTTCCATAGATTATGCTACTGAATCATACTGAATACTGTCAAAATGTCATGTATTTACTGTGCATTCAGGCGTTTAACACATAAACTGCAACGTCACTCGTAAGTTATGAAGCTAAGTCAGAAAGACCCTGTTATCTAATATCGTGTTTTGGCATTTGTGCGGTCTCCAGGTTAGATTTTCTATCTGACAATCTGAGAAAAATGCCTGACTGCACAGCAACCTTGGCTTTTGTCTTGTCAATATTTAGAACGATTTAGAATGAAAAGTTCTTCATAACATAGCCTTGCCATAACATTTGTATGATATGCGGCAGAATCGGTCCATTAATAATAAAATAGACTTGCCATAACATTAGTCTATTTTACGGCACCATCGGCCCATAAGTTTGCATTATGCTACTAAGAACGATGAGAGAAATAAACAGTGGAAACATAATTCGTATCCAAAAATTAAAAGTATCACGTATTTCGTTTTCCAGCTACACTATGAACGTATTTTGTTATTTATAATTAATAAGTAG